TGGTATTTCCTCTCCAGCCGGCCGATAAAACGTCTATATTAGAGTAAAGATTTACAAAACATGTCGGAACGCAGCATAACCTATTTATTTCAGACGCCATCGCTACAAAGCGGGTATAGCGCCATCTACGATCACAAATTGTGATTCATTTTGGTTTATAAATTATTATTGCGATATACAGATGGCAATCGTTTCTATAATGTACGTCGATGGTTGCTCAATTAAAACTGACTTCTTACTCACTCATTTGTGTCCTTTTTTTGTGGTGAGCTACAGTGTCATTGACACTTTTATTATGGGTCCACTCACGTCGCAGTTTACGAGCATTGCATCTCACGCACGCTCGAACGTGTGTCTGAATGTCAGTGAACATGTGTTGCTAATAGTATCGCTCGGCCACCTTCAAGTAAGTCTTTTGAAAGCCCAGGTGTCCAGCATACAAATGGTCATGACACAACGAGTCACGACAAAACCTGTGGAACAAGGGATTTAGGCACCACAAGTTGTCGACATGGAACGCCGTCATGAGTGGCTGCTCCGAGATGGGAAAGAATCCCATCTTCTAATATGAAGTCAGCCATCTCTCTGCGTTGACGGAGTGAAGGGTGTTCTGCTTCGAATGTTGCAACCATGTCTCTCCTGCTGCTGCAATGAAAGAATCTGCTGTGATGAAACATCGAGACCTGTTTCAAGAAAATCATTGTCATCGTCAGGTACCGCACCCTCACCATCTTCCTCCTGTAAGATTACAGGTGCCATGAGCATAGCCTGTTCTCGTGTTACCTCAGAAGTGGTGTTGCCCTCGCTGTCAGCATGTTCTACTGGCATATCTGTAGGAAGTCTAGACAATGCGTCAGCTTGGACATTAAACCGCCCCCTGGTACTTTGTTTCAAGAATAAACTTTAACGGCCGATGATCGGTGAATAACGTGAACTTTGAACCGATTAGAAAATGTCGCAACTTCTCTAAAGCATACACCAGAGCAAAACACTCCTTCTCGACTATCGGCCATCTTGCCTCACATTCATTGAACTTCTTGCTCAAGTAGAGCACCACGTGTTCCTGGTCGAGTTCATATCTCTGCGTGAGTAAGGCTCCTACTGCAATAGACGACGCATCACAGTACAGCGTGAACGGTAGATTACGATCTGCAAGTGCAATAAAGTGGCTCAGATATCAGACATGTTTTTAGAGACTGAAACGCCTCTTCAGCTTCAGGAGACCAAACGAATTCAGCCTTTTTGACAGTCAACAACGTTAAAGGTCGTGCTATAACAGCATAGTTGCATATGAATTTGTGATAGTACCCTGTTAATCCTAGGAACTGGCGAACTCCTGCCTCATCCTTGGGTGGAATCTTACTCACGGCCTCGATCTTACCCTGGTTAGGTTTCAGTATCTGTGGTGATATCACATGTCCCAGGTATGGGACAGAACTTCGCATGAAGGAGCACTTCGTAGGCTTTGCCCTCAAGTTCACAGCTCTCAACCTAGAGAAGACTTCGTCAAGATGACTCATGTGAGTTTCAAAGTCAGAAGAAAATACGTTGATGTCATCGATATATACCAGCGCACTTTTCCCAATAAGCCCTTCAAGTGCCATAGTCATACATCTCTGGAACACAGCAGGAGCACAGCAGAGACCGAAACTTGATACACTGAAATCACAAAGACCTGCATTTGTGGTGAAGGCTGTCTTTGGTTGATCGTCTGGTGCAATTGGAACCTGATGATACCCTGATCTGAGGTCAAGTGTTGAGAAAAACTGCATTGCCAAGATTCTGCAAAATATCATCAATAATCGTCAACGGAAAGTTGTCCTTGGTTGTTACCACATTCAATCTACGATAATCAATGCACATCTTCCAATGATCACCCTTTTTAGGAACGAGCAACACCCCACTAGACCAAGGAGATGAAGACAGAACGATGATGCCATTGTCAAGCATCTCGGACACCACCTGCACAATGTCTTGCTGTTTCGGACTCATCCGATACGGTTTCGTTTTGAACGGACGTTGTACCTGTCTCAATACGAAACTCAACAAGATTTGTTAACCAAAGCACCTGGTCAGTATTCGCAAACACGCCATGATTGCGTGACAACAGTGCCATAAGACATTCTCTCTGTGCTTCATCCGTCACATGCTTTGTGAGCGTGAGAAAATCATACTGATCTGCGTGCGTTGATAACCCTATATTACTAAACCTACCTATAGTCTCATCTGCAGGCACAAATGCAGCAGCAGCAGCAGTAAGAGTAACATCAGCAGCAACATCAACAGCATCATCATCAAAATGTTGAACACTAGGCCGTGTTCTCGTGCGACTTCCATGAGGTTGTGTAGGTTCCGGTCATGGTCTTTCTTTGATTTACCGAACACTGCAACATTATCTGCGATGCCAGTGGTGCCTGGACACTGCTCCAGAATGTGATCCATACGTTCCTGGAACACATCTTGGCTCACGTTTAGTCCTAACGGGAGCCTCCGGAAACGATATCTGCCGAACGGGCTGGGCTGTTGAACGTCGTGAGCCGGCTCGATTGCGCATCCAAGGATATCGACCAGTACCCATGACGGGCATCAAGTTTTGAGAAGGTAGTCGCCCCGGCAAATCTGTGCGTGATCTCCTTCAACGTGGGAGTCTTGTAGTGTGGACGCTTGATTGCCGTGTTAAGATCCTTGGGGTCTAGGCACACGCGCAGTCGCCCATTTGACTTGCGTCTGAATGCCAGGCTGCTGACCCAGTCGGTCGGCTCCGTAACTTTTGTGATTACGCCCATCTGCTCCATACCATCTAACTCTTTACGTAATTCGTCTCGTAGATGTATTGGGCAGCGTCTAGGGGCATGGACCACCGGTTGTACAGATGGGTCTACTGTTATGTGGAACATCGCTTTAAAGTTGCCGATGCCCTCGAATCTGTCTGGGTATAGCTTGACCAAGACATCCTTACAGTCTACATGTGTGAGTTGGACAGGTGCCGTAGGTACGCTGTACGGTGCCTTGTCCTTGTTGACGACTGCTTTGGTCGTTATCTCACAGTTGAGCTTGACCACATGTAGCTCACGCAGCGTTGGCAATCCCATGATGGCCGGTCCTTCGGAGTCAGTCACATAAAACTCCGCCACATTGTGGTACTCACGGTACCTACAAGGGATATCAATGGACCCGTGCTGTGGGATCCTCGTGCCATTATATGCGGTCAGCACAGTGCTCCGCGGCTTTGTGGCTCCCCTCCGTGGGAACCCACCATCGTCCAACCTCTCAGGGAACATCCTTCTGTAAATTCTCAGGGGTAGTATGTTACCCTGCGCACCGGTGTCCACCTTGACCTTGAGGTTGGATTTGGCACGTGGTTTGTTTTCTAAGTCGATATCGACAAACACAAATACTTCATCTTGTGTATCGCTATCCCTTTGGTCACTGTTAGAGTTTATCGACTCAAATGACAATGACTGAAAACTCCTCCAAGGATGGCCTACTGCCACGA